TTAATGGGGGGAGGGGGGGTTTGAAATCTACCATTAACACTGTTCGCTCTATATAGACAATAAATTATTTATCGTAGATGCATGTCAATTGTATGTTGCCTAATAATTTTTTATACAGTGCTCGTAATTTCGGTCTAGTCATAGTGTTCTGTGCGAGTGAGCGCGGTCAGGGCAAACTATTTCACTACACAGTGAGGAGGAAGAGCAAGTTTCCCTGTGTAAGTAGAGCCTCACTCGCTTCAAATCATTGCCACCCCAAACTGCATTATATGAAGATTGACGATAATATCAACCTCTGAACCATTTACTGCACTACCGTAAGATACCACACACTGACGTCAGTGAGACCGGTGTCATAACTACATAGAGCATTCTAGCTGACTGGTGGGCCCTCTAATTGCAGTTTTGCTGAATGTGAAATCTCTACACGCCTATTTACAATGTTTCACACACAAGATATTATACGACACTATATAAATTATTTATGTAGAGATTTGCAAATTGTATGTGGCATATACTTTTAAAAGTGCTGCGTAGCTAATGTCTGTCGTATTGTGTTCTGTGCCCGATAAGTGAGGAGGTCCAGGGCACTCTATTTCACACAGTGAGTGGACTATGAGCAAGTTTCCCTCAAAGTAGCGCTCCTCGCTTCAAGTTGCATGCCACAAACTGCACTATATGAAGACTTTGAGGATATAAGACCATAATAACACGTGACATTTCCTGCACTACAGTACTAACAGGCACAGTTTTTCAGTAAGCATTCCTGCACCAATCCAAGCATAGTTTCGTGCCCTTGTCAGGGAGGTGCAGGAATAAGGAAAGTGAATAGTAAATTGCGTCTGCTACTATACTTGTGGAAAACTGTGATGTGTCTCAGGAAATGTGATGGTGGCACTCGGAGCAAGGGAATTTCAGCTATGTCGTGCCCAGTTGATAAACGACGCAAGACAAGCAAGCAAGACGTCTGTCTTAATAGCTACTCATCACTCACAAAATAATATTATGCAGCTTGAAAGGTCGGACTATGATATACAGGATGGAGAGGGCAATTTTCACGGGAATGACACTACTCATGACTGCGAGAGAATAGCACCAGGACCAGTGACCAGAGGAGAATGAACATCTCCACCCATCTGTATAGTATGACATTCTGCCCTGATCATCACCTGTGGTAGTCAAAGTGTAGCAGAAATGGGGTGGCTGAAGTGTTTTTAAATTATGTGACACGTACTGCGATCAATGGCCCGGAGCCAATTACGGCCCTGGCATTATTAGCTGATTCTTTGCGCAGACTAAGCTGAGGCTGCTACACTACAACACTAAGAACTAGTGACAGGAGGATCATAAACCCAGGCTGTTCTCCCTTCTCTGGTCTATGTCACCAGACAACTTCTGCAGGGTCCTACATTTGCCACCCGGCTAGCCAGCTATTACAGCTTCTTAAATCTGTATACAGATGATGGTAGGTCAGAGTTCAAGCAGTAGCAGAGATTCTCGTAGAGTTCTCGAACGAGACAGGTGTTCCTGAATACTCCTACACACAGCAGACCCCAGAGTCCACTAGAGATAGGGAATATCATGAGATGACATCATAAAGAGTTCTTTCTTACCATACGGCATGTACTGGAAACACTCTAGCTCCATCATGGAGGCCAAGACAATACTCAATGAAGCAGCCGGTGTGGTAGATGAAAACTGTAGCACCTAAAGTAGGCAGAGCACTTGGTAATCACACTCACATTGAGAATTTTAATTTGTTAATTTTCAGTAGAACCTCAGTAGACGTAGCTTACAAATGCAAATCTGAGTATCCTTGGTACCATAGAGTCTCATTTTAAATTATAGTTTAATGGTCCCCAGAACACCGTACAGTGTTGCCTCACTCAAACTGTGATAATCCCCTTACAATCCCCACTCGAATTGCAACTATATACAAACCTTTGGATACCATAAGCATCTCCTTTGTAGCTATATATAATATTAGCTATCTTATATAATATTAAAAGTTAACTCAGCCATAGAGTGAGACGTACAGCCAATGGGAATGGCCCAGGGAGGGCTAATGAAGGCACAGCAGCCAGTGACTGCCACCAGAGAAGCCACCACGGCATTGGCCAGCTCGTTGGTGTTGTAGTGGGCGTGTCGGCTGGCCATCTGGACGAGCCCAGAGAGGATGGCCTGGGTCACTCCCCCCGAGGCTGCTGCCAGACAGATGGTGGTGCATATCCTACCAACAGCAGCATGGGCCATCTTCCCTGTATAGAGCAAATAAGGGGGTGTAAACACAAGGCAAGTGCATACTATTAAATTCAACTACACCTAGGACAGCACATTTTTGCTGCCCTAAGTAGGTGGGACTCAAACCTACGACACTCAGTTCTCTGCCCTACGGCTACCACTAACTAGCTATATACAATGACAACTCAGCAGGCTGGGCTCAAAGTCAAACACAGCGCCAAGCAAAGGCAACCCCCCAGAGTCTGTGCTATGGTGCAAAACCCTTGTAATAGTACAATGCAACAATCACTGTACATTTGAAGAGTTGACATCATTCACTGGAAGGAAATAAATTTCCTGCAAAACAGTACAGGGCGCAATTCCTTGTACACTTTACTGCACTTGTCCTGAAAAAGCGCGGGAAAAGTGCCGGAAAGTGTACAGTAAAATACGCCCTGTCCTTTCTAGGAAACGTGATGTTCCTCGAGAAAAGTGCAGGAAAGGCATAGGAATGGTAAACTGAACTGAGTCTGTACAGTATACAAGTTATAAGTTTACCAGATATAGCTTCAGTAGCACCAGCAGTGTAGCAAAACCTGCAGGGAGTGAGTAGGGAATGAGGGAACAGTTGGTAGCTATATAGCTACCATGAGGTCCAGAGAATGAGGACACCAAGTGCAGCACTCTCAATATTCTCCTGCTCCTCTGTCCCTCTGTAGTACATCCAGTCAACAAAGCTGTGGAGCCAAGCATTTGAAAACCATATGTGAGCGCATCAAGTAAAAATAGGGGCTATGACACACAGGGACAAGTTTGAATTTGTGAATGACAACGAATAGAGAATTTGCATGCGCGATATGGCGACGATTAGCCACACAGAGAGCATTACGCGCAACGCGCATTGCGCTCTACGTATGGGATTTCCCCTCCGCCCGTGTGCTATGCTCGTGTATACAGGGAAATATTATAATGTGGCGTACACCCTATTTTTACTAGATGCGTTCACATATAATTATAATCCCTACTTATTGGCAGCTGTTCTGCTGTTATAAAGACAAAACTCACTTTCTGAGAATATTATCTGGCCTCCAACTTGTTCGAGATGGTCGCAGCTGGGAAATCAAACAGTATATGTTGTCTACTTCATGCATTCACCCTACTACTTCTATACAAGAAGCAAACACAACATTAAAGAGTGTATACAGGCACCATACAGCTATGTACACTAAAGTAACTAACCTTTCTGCTCCTCATTTTCATCTGAGCATCGCCCTTTAACTCCCCAAGTGTCTACAAGATGTAGCTATGTGTGATTGAACGGTGCATACCATGTATATTCATACACTATAGCTAAACTAAACGTGTGATTTGGCAGCAAATAAGACAAACATCACTGGACAAACAGCCCATGCAAAAAGTCAAATTTTGCAGGTTTGTAGGTGGTGGTAGCTACAGTGTATATACATGTCAGCTTAGCTAATAGTCATGTTAATGAAAGTTCTTACATCTCTTCTTCTTAAAAGAGGCACATTTTGAAGTCTTCTCCCTCTTTTCGACAGCTCCAGCTTGTGGAACACGCTCAAAACAAAGGCTCCTGCGCCACCTTTGCAGTAAAAACAAACACAATTTCACACATCCACACAATTCTTCGTTGCATAATCATAGCCTACCACAGACGTGTACCACTCCGGCACCAGCCAGGTCAAAGAAGTAGAAGGATTCTCCTCCAGAGGCGAACAGGAACTGGTGGTCCCTGCGAGCAGTGTTGGTACCATTGCAGCTGTGGTACGGAGAGAAAACAGCCGTGTCGGACAACCAGGACTGTAAGGACCAAAAGAAGTTTGCTACTCCTGGATGAATGAGCCCCTGGGGAATTGGGAGAAATAATTATGACTTTGGGTGTGTAGCTAACCTGCCAACGTTTACTTTTCACATAATAATTGTCGAATGCAACTTCAATGATTGGTGTAATGAGCAGCTAACACACAGTGTTTCGCACGTAATATTGTTTTGGTATAATTATATGACTTTTGTTGAATGTGACAATTGTGCTGCAACTTAACCAAAAAATTGTGTGTAGTTCAGAACTGTCAATCAAGTACACGTATATATTATTTTAAACACAGACTGCTGGGCAAATTTAGCCAATAAATTACGCACCAATGGGATATTCATAAGAGAATTAAACAGAGAGGTTTACAAAACCATTACACGTAACTTGGAAGCTCTGGTAGTTGTGCAAGACTATTGCAGGTGCAGATGTTGGTTGTTGGCTGTGAGCTAACTGTGTTTATTGTACAACTCACACATATCTATACAACAATGTGAGCTCGGAAGACTGAAAAAATGTGTCCTGAAAAGATATGGTGTGAGCCTTGCCAACTTACGGTCATCACAAAGCCGTAGATAAAGGTTGCCACGGTTCTCATTTCGACCTCTTGTCCGACAAGAGTTCCTCCCAGTATCGTTGCAGCATTCGTTGCAAACATAAACTGTACATGGGGAAGTATCATAAGGAAATAAGATTACAATCCTCTATTATAACTTCAGTCACCATCTGTCAACATTCCAGAAATTCTAATGCGTCTACATGCGTGCTTCATCATTTGGAGCAAAGAAAGTTAAGCGCCATGGAAGATATCTGTGCATATATACCCTTAAGAACCAGAAGAGGAAGTCTTGCTCAGCACCCAGTATTTTTGTGTCAGTGCTGCCCGAGATGGCAAATCCAAACAGCCAGAAACCAAGTGTCCCAGCAAACAAATCACAGTATTTCTGCAGCGTTGAACATGTCTAATAAGGACTCTAAAGCATATGAGAGGGGTGTCCTTATTTCATGAGTGCAAAGAGTGAGAAAAGGTAGTTTCCTCATTTCAGGGGTGTCCTTAGAGAGGTCGAAGATTATCAATCCGCATACAATACATAAGCATTTTTTACATAATTATTGATGCGTTTGCATTATGTGAGTAAATGTTGATATAACTAACTTAAAGCAATTTACAGTGTGCTATATAGTCAAAAGTCAGCATTAAGTTAAAGAAAACACATTAGCTGCACTAACGTCTCATACACTATTTGGGTCACTTTTCAATAGCTACATACACAATCTTACTGCAAGCACAACTCTTTTTCTTTTATGAGTCATGCTGAAAGCCAGTTCAACATAGAGAAATCCTGATCTCTGTATGGTCAAGAAATAATCTTGGAATGAGCTATGCAAGATATTATAGAAACGGCACTCCCTTACCATAAAAATGAGCAAGATTGCACAGAGGACCACCAAGCTTGCACTAGCGTCGTCATAATGATCAGCGTAGGACTGAAGACCATAATACAAAGAGCTATTCAATAATAATACGCAAGAAATACGTGTATTATGCTTACCGATCCATCGCAGAGTCCCGGTTCCACGGAGAGGCAATTAGTAGCCTTCACTGAGGAAGAATTATCCGCCACAAATTTCGAACCGTTCATGACTGTCTATAACGTCACGACGCTGGCTGACCTTGTGCGAGAAGCGACGCGGCGCATGCGTCGACTTGGATTATTGCTGCGCATGCGCGCCGAGAGCAGAGAACCGCAACGGAAGTCGGCACGCGTTGGCAGTGACTCTCCACGGTATATAATAGGTGGAGGATTTTGCTGTATATAGAGTGTCCAGTTCACCATCACGTTTATTGCTCTTGCCTTCGTGTCCCAGGCTCAGCGTATGGCAAAATTCCTTCCTCTTCATCCAATACTCTTTTAGTTCCCCTCTCTGAGTCTAAGATAGCTTTCTCAATATCTGGAAAGCAAAACTCCATAAAACAGTAGAGACATCAGTGTTCTGTGGAATTTGTTCCTACACTTCTTTCCGTTCAAAGTACAGAAAGTAATCTCACATGATCGACTATTATTATAATATAGGCACCGCATACTCGCCTCAGATCTTTGAGTCCGGCGTAGTTCCTGTTTCGGCCGGGTGAGAGACGGAAGCAAAATAGGTCTGTTCCTCCATTTGTGACAAGTTGTGTATATACAGCGTGCTGTGGGTGTGAGCTTTGAGTGGGGGTAGTCATAGTCAGCATGGTCAGAAGACAGGTGAGTTTGCAACTTTTAGACATCGCAGCATGTTGCAATGGTAGACTATATAATTTTATGCATTGGTAGCTATAGCGAACCATATCTTTCCTCATCTTCCTTATCTTATTCTCTGAATAACATCATCGGCAGCAGTCCATGGTGTTTTTTTAACAGATGTGCTAGTTTAACAGGACCATAAAAAATATTAAATTTTGCTATGATTATTATGTGTATTAAGCAACACATAAGATTCGACATGACTCTACAACAACAGTAATGTGTAACAAAACATGTTATGGTGTAACGTAACGCAGTATAATCTCTGGATGTGTTATAACACTCTCTTCCTTGTGCTGTTCAGGATATCTAGAGAAAATCAAAAGGTAAAAATTATACACAAATACAGAATGGTACAGTGGAACCTCAAAAATATTTCTATTACAGAAACTTTCTATGTACAGTGGAACGTTTCTATTATTATACAGAAACTTTCTATGTACAGTGGAACCTCAAAAATGTTTCTATTATAATTATACAGAAACTTTCTATGTACAGTGGAACCTCAAAAATGTTTCTATTATTATACAGAAACTTTCTATGTACAGTGGAACCTCAAAAATGTTTCTATTATTATTATACAGAAACTTTCTATGTACAGTGGAACCTCAAAAATGTTTCTATTATTATACAGAAACTTTCTATGTACAGTGGAACCTCAAAAATGTTTCTATTATTATTATACAGAAACTTTCTATGTACAGTGGAACCTCAAAAATGTTTATATTATTATACATAAACTTTCTATGTACAGTGGAACCTCAAAAATGTTTCTATTATTATTATACAGAAACTTTCTAGTACAGTGGAACCTCACAAAAGTTTTTTGTGGAACCTCAGTGGAACCTCATGTACACATTGACGAGTGAAGTAGCCTACTGGTAAATAGCTAGTGTATAGGGGTTGAAGAGAAAAAACCTGGACTCCACTCTCTATACATGCATGATGCATGACGGTAATAATATTTGCAGACACAAGGCTGTTACTTCTCCTCTTCCCCCACAAAAACCAGGGTTACTCAGATGCTGTACATGATTGTATAGGACAGTGGTTGAGGTTTGCCTCTGTGCTGTATTGTGGATGATGACCAGAACCCCTACCAGCTGAGTTGCTATAGCACTCGCCTGAGTGTCGTGGGTTCGAATCCCACCCAGGGCAGCTCTTCTTTTTTCCTTCAAAAAAAGAGCTGCCCTGGGTGTAGTTGACTTCGTTTTCCATTTACCTCGTAGTTTACATAATGTGCAGCTACCAAAATCATAGCTAGTAGGAGAGGAGGGATAGATATTCAATAAAAGGTTGAATTCGTAGAGTCGTACGGTAAAAGAGGACCTACCATCCACGATGCAGTGCCACGGAAGTGTGATGTAGGTGAGGTAGGCACACACTGCCATATCTGAACCAGACTTGCTGCAACACAATTGGTCAGAGCTTCAAGTGGACACACACATTTGATTCACTTCATGTTTTACGATACAAAAGCTATTTCTTGGACTATATCTACGTCTCACTTTCCAGGGATAGGAGGCTAAGGACAGGGCTCTGCATGGCTTGATATGCTTCACTAACAGAGTGATGCCATAGCACACAAGCCAACAGATAGAGAGGGAATGCTCTAGCACTTTACTCATAATTTTAGTGCTGGTAAACATAAACAGCAGGTGGGTTCATTAAGATGCAAGCCTATGTTAGCATCCTAATATGTGCAGGCACAACTATGAAGTGACACTCAATTGACAATCAGTAATGTTCGAGTATAACACAAACTTGTTTTCGTAAAACCCCTCCAAAGAAGTGTCTATACATATAGTGCTATATATAGTACTTATGTCTATATATATACCTCCGAGGTCTTCCTGAACTCGACTTGAAACGTCCTGCATCAATGGAGCAAGTGTAGAATGTGTCAAAAAACATTATGAGCTCTAAAAATTGATAATGTGAGTAGAGATCGTACATACCCTTGGAGGACTAAGAACTGCCTCAGTCCAATTCAGTGGACTTGGGCATTTGTCCCACTGGTGCTTTCTTATCACATGAGCTCAAAATGTTAATTTGAGCACCTATAGTGGTGTTGACCCTTGGAGGACTCCTCAGAAAGCACAAATGGAGAACCTGCCTCAGTCGAATTCAGTGGACTTAGGCATTCTCCCACTGGTGTTTTTCTTATACATGAGCTCTAAATGTTAATTTGAGCACCGATAGTGGTGTTGACCCTTAGAAAGCACAAGTGGAAGAACTGCCTCAGTCCAATTCAGTGGACTTGGGCATTTCTCCCACTGGTGCTCTCTTATCACATGAGCTCTAGCTAAATGTTAATTTGAGCACTGATAGTGGTGTTTACCATTGGAGGACTCTTCAGAAAGCACAAATGGAAAAACTGCCTCAGTCCAATTCAGTGGACTTGGGCATTCTCCCACTGGTGTTTTCTTATACATGAGCTCTAAATGTTAATTTGAGCACCGATAGTGGTGTTTACCCTTGGAGGACCCGATGGTGGTGGCAGAGGCCACAGAAATGGAGTCGCTCTCTCTCACTGGTCCGGTGAAACTCTGACTTCGCTCGTGTCTCGGATCCAGAGCCGAGTCGTTTGACAGGAAGCTGTCGCGACTCGATTGGCGAGTGAAGAACCCCGACCCCGGACGAGAGCTCTGTCGGAAGTCCTCTGCTTCCATGACAACACTGGAGTGGGAGGGGCTTGCCGTGGAGTAGTACGCTTCGTCTGACCCGGGTGAGCTAACAGCGTCCACGGGGGAAGAGTACGAACGCTCGTGGAAAGTCATCTGTGAGGGAGACGAGTGTCCACGGATGTGGACCGAAGTGGGGGAGGGCGACATTGAAGTGGAGTCTTCCGGGACTATGATGGTAGGGATGGCGTTTTGCGCCGCTGGGGGAGCCCCCGTTTTTAGTAGCCACAACGAGACGAGGAGAGATGGTGGGTTTGGTGTAGGAAGGCTGGAGAGTGGGTGGAGCCTGGGCTGGCTGTGGGGGGACGAGCTCGTGGTGACTCACTCGAGCCACTGCCATCTCTGCGAATCCCTTCATTTTGGGTCCCTGCATCTTCACAAAGCTGTAGGCCTGTCTTAGGTCCGTCTTTCTGCCGTTGGAGGAGTTTCGGGTGAGAGAGAGTCTCTTGAGACGTCGCGAGAGAGAGTTCTGCGGTTGGTGAAACATTCATGAAAACTTGTAAATGGAGGGACGTACCCCACGCCAATTGGTAAGTTGGTTAAAGGGTCAGTGGTAAGTTCACTGCCGTTGATGTACGTATAAAACTTATGTATGTACAGAAAAATGGTGTAGAACTACGTATTAGGTTAGTTACTAGCTCCCGTTCAATTTTCTATGAGCCATAACCCTGAAAATAAAACCACTTTCGGGAATCTGGCTACCGGTCTGCCCTTCATACCAAAACGTCAGTCCTCAGACCAAGAAAGGCTCAAAGGCACTGTGCAAGACTATTTTAGACAGCGCTAACTATGCATTATCGTGCCCGTCCCTGTATACTTGTAGCCTAGTTTTGCTGATTTTCAAAGGCACCGCCGCGCTAGTAGTATTCCCAGTACCCAAGCCGCCAGCACGTCAATACTCATATTCCCGAGGATGTATGGCTGCCGTTAATTGAGTCAATATGAGTATCCGCTGGCTGGGTAGCCACAGTTTACACAACGATCTAATCAGCAAACAATGGCCAGTGACCTTTCTTGGTAAGCTGTAGATGGCTGTGGCTACATCCCAAGCTGGCAGGCAAGGGAAAAGTGGCGAGCCAGTAAGCGAGAAGATGCGCGTGCAAGCCAGAAAAAGGCGAGAGCTGGAGCGAGAGGGCTGTGTGCCGTGCGTCACTTGTGTCATTTTGAACACGCTGTTCAAAAATGTCAGCTTAGCTGCACCATAGCTGAGCTGTAGCGTACGTGGTATACGAAGGAGACTCCAAAGAACGCCATTCCAGGTCTGCGCGAAATCTTGTCTTCTCTGCTTGGTCCGCGCTACAGCAGCCCGCTACAATTGCACGCTACACTACGCTCCACCGCTAGCTAAAGCTCACGGTCAACAGGCAGCATGGGCTCACGCAAGCATGCTCTCGGCCTCGTCTCGCCAACCGATTTCTCTCACAACCCTGGCAAAATGTTGATGACGTAATATGGTTGCTAGGCAATTAGTACGGTTGCTAGGCTACAAATTGGTTAACACCTTGGTTCTTCAGTGGTACCGGATATCCCCTCAGCTGTTTACTCTACCCCCCTCGGGCTCCGCCCTCGGGTGCTAGAGTAAACAGCTTCGGGGATATCACCGGTACCGCTTCAGAACCAGGCGTTAACCTATACGTACTAAGTACTACCGACACCATACTTAGTGATTATGCATAATGGTAACAATGCTGACATGTAGAGATATTGTAGCAAGAGGTGCCCCACCCCTCATAGCATCATAATCTCAGCGTGCTACGGTACACATGTGCGTAGGTTACATGATGAACACCATTTTTATCCTTCTCTCTCAAGTTTATGTATGTATATATACCATCATGTGTATTAACCAATAGGGCCAGAGGCCACCAACTGGGGGCTATCTTAAGTGTCTCTCTGACCTGGTCTCTCTTCATACACTCAGTCCTGAGGGCCCCGTAGTCCACTGCTCCCAGGAACACCATCCTCGACACTCTGATACTCTGAAACACACACACACACATATTCATTGGACGTGTATCTATCAAACAGTAAGAAAGTGTGGGCATATGTACAAAAACTACGGCTGGCCTTTGCCTTGTGATGTGATGTAATGCTTTCGGCCTCACCTGCTGAGCTGCCCTGGTAGCTCAGTTGGTAGGGTGCTCTGCCTTGACTGCAGAGTGTCGTGGGTTCGAATCCCACCCAGGGCAACTGTTGTATAAAAACATTGTCCCATGTGTAGCTGAGTTGTTACCCTGACCACGCATGCATGCTATGTTTTCGGTCTGTGTGTCTGCGGTCGTAATCTGCACTAAGATAGCCAGATCTCGAGATATTGGTGCCTGGGAGCACTGTGTACATATCCCCTAAGCTCTACTGTTATAATGCCGTGATTCATACGGAGAAGTATTGCATGTCTCAGCAACTTGGCAACGAGGTAGAAAGGGAAGGCAAGGCAAACAAGTCAACTACACCCTACACCCAGGACAACTCCTCTTTCTTTAAGAAGAGTTGCCCTGGGTGGGATCAAACCCACGGCACTCTGCAGTCTAGGCGAGCACTCTACCAACTGAGCTACCAGGGCAACTCAGCTGGTAGGGGTTCGAATCTACAACACAACACAACACAAAGGCACACCTCAAACCACTGTGCTATGGCACAGTGTACACTCAGTATGTAGGAGCATGGTAGAGTTAGTGTCAGTCTCACTTGAACTCCACATAACATGATGTAAAATTGATATTATGGAGAGCCGCCAAGTTCACGTATGCAGCATGCGCAATAATTTTGAAACCTAAGTAATTCGTAATTCCATGTATGAGATTAATAGGCAAAACTTCCCAAAGTGATGTCAGTAATGCTCAAATTGGTCCTTACACATTTTTTTAATTCTTGGCAGCTCCGATTATGGCCTCATAGCCAGACTCTCTCACTGATGTGCCTCGTATGACGTTTGACCCATGTACGTACTACAGTGGAACCTCCAATAAGGGACCCTCCGAGATAGGGACAACCTCTCTACAAAGGACACTTGTTTCAACCCCATGCTAATACTTTAGTGTATTATTTGACATCCGACCTCTCTACAAAGGACTCGACCCCATGCTAATATCAGTGATTATTTGACCTCCAAGATAGGGACGACCTATCTATAAAGGACACTTATTTCAACCCCATGCCAATATAAGTGATTATTTGACCTCCGAGACAGGGACGACCTCTCTACAAAGGACACTTGTTTCAACCCCATGCTACACTTTAGTGTACTATTTGACATCTGAGATAGGGACAACCTCTCTACAAAGGACACTTGTTTCAACCCCATGCTAATGTATTATGTGACCTCTGAGATAGGGACAACCTCTCTAAAAGGGACAAAATTGTCCCTTGTTTGGAGGTTCCACTGTGTAGGTACGTAAATGATTGCAGGGTGCAGAACCAAACAACGAGGCTATGAGGCAAGAGTCATATGTATATACCTTGTTGACTGCCATCAGCTGAACGGCAACTTTCTCTCCTGGCTCTGTGAGGTGAATGCTGTGGAATATCTGCCAAAAGTTAAAAAAATGGACTCTCAATATGGGATATATTACATTTTTAAACCCTGTGGACACCATGGTACAGTACCTCCTTTAATAAGCAGAAAAATATTAGCGCTAAGTAAAAATTCTACACGATAGGATATTGGGCTATTAATGTCAGCACTACAATATACCTCCTCAAATCCATCAACACAGAACATTATGTCAGGATAAATGACATCATTCCCTCCTCCTTTCTTGTCCATCCTGGGATACACACATACATATTTACGTATGTACGTACTACATACATACAATACAATGCGTGCATTTAGATCTAATCGGAACGTTAGTTTTCTACCTCAACTGCACCAAGACCATCCCTCAATAGAAAAACAGTGCATAAAACATTGTATGAATGACCCATTACACAGGATTTTGAATTGGCACAAGGATACTGCAATGCCACATGCTCCTTCCTACCCTCACACTGAGGAAGAGGAAGGAG